TCACTGTGCCATAATTTGAAGTTTGTTCATTACAACAGTGGATGTTATACTATGAAGTTGTCTTTGAGGACAGAGGAATACTGACAATGTTTGAATGTAAGGATAACCCCAAGGGACCGTGTTTTCACCTCTTTATCTGATTTAAACAGCATGTTTAAGAATAATTAGGTTCAGGTTGTGATACTTTTAATTAAATTAACTTTTTTTGGGGACAGTTGAATTTAAATTTAATAAGTTGGATAACTTTTTAATTGGATAGTGAGTTTCTTCTGCTGTCGGTTTATTTGAATTTTGTTCAAAGTTGAAAAAAAACTTATTAATATGCTGTTTTGAAAATTTTTAAATTAATATAATTACATACATAATTTATTTCATAAACATCAAAAAGAGATTAGAAAAAAACATTTAAAATTTCATAATTAAAAAAATGTTAAAATATTCCCTAAGGCTTATAGTTAGATGATGTTTAAATTAAACTTCAGATTTTGTCGTGGGTTTTAGATTTTCAAAAAATGTAAATTTGTTTAATACAAGTATTTAATAATATATACTGAAAACCAGTGAAAAACTTGTTTTTCAACTTAATTTGATAGTGAAACATGAAATTTAAAGCGGATCTTGAAATTTAATGGGGGTCAGATTAGCAAGTCAAATTACGCTAGTAAATTTCAACTGATAATGTTGATTGGTGAATTAAATAAATTGTTAAGAAATTCAAATTATCTTCAAATCTCAATAGCTTCAACATTTTGTTATGTATCATTAAAACTTCATATTAATACTTCTATTTTTAATAACCAGACATTTTGCAAAACTAATTGTAGTTTTTTCTCGCCTTTTTATACCCTGTACAATGGACACATGTGGTATTAAATTCTGGCCTCCAGTTTAATTTTCTACTTCAATTAAAAGTTTTCATAAAATAAACCCATTTAATCAAATTGCTTTTCCCCTGAAACAGAATTGATTTTTTGCAGCAATGAATTAATGACTGTCCGCTACCGATTTCCAGAAGAACGCGCTGGGCTTGTGAAGCCAGTCGGAGTGTGGACATTGATAAACACAATGTCAGAATTTAAATTGAATATTGATGAGTAACTCGGATCAAGTTTTAAATTTTGGAATATTAGGAATAATATTGGCATAATGTGGCAAAATTTTGTGATACGTGAAAGGAAGTGGAGCGAGAACAAAAGCGTGTGCCGATTGACAGGAAACTATTGACCACTGTGATGTTAAATTGGTAGGACTAAACACACGTATTGTTGTTTTTTCACACAATGTCAAAACGGCTTGGAAACTGTTAAAAACGAGTGAATTAAAATTAAACTTGTTAGTGGTTTGTAATTATTAGGGCTTTGAAATTGACTGTAAGTCGGAGGTCTTTAGTGAATGGATACTATTGGAGATGATATTGATTAGTAGCCACCCATTACTGCTAATTAAAGCACATTCACATGATTTTTTGTAAACCTGATTTATCACAGTGAAACAAACAAGTACGCGGTTATGAAAAAAAGAGGGGTTTGATTTCTGACTTTGATGGTTGCTTTTGTTCGTAGGTGTGTATGGATTTTGTTTGGACGATTATTAAATAACTTTTATAGTACTTGGTAATGACAGTCAATAATGAAATGAAGTTTATTATTTATGGAGTTCTGTTACTATGCTTAGCAGTGGTTGATTGCAGTAAGTTTGGGTTTTTTCTTGATCTGTGCGAAAAGATTTTTTCTTAAAAATTATTTTGAGGTTTTACATAATATTATTTTAATTGACATCATAAAAGGTTTTTTCTTGTATTGAAAAAGCTACACGAGGACAATGGTGCTCCCATTTAAAACTTGAGTTAAAATTTGATTTTGCTTTGTTCAGTTGCACTGTTCTTTCACTGCCTGTTTCACTTGCAAAAGTCGATTCGGTTGAAGAAAGAAACAAAATTCATTTTCAATAGTAAACCTCCAAAAAATAAAATTTTGGGCATTCTTCCTTGCTCTATAAAAAGTCTGAAAATTTAAAGTCTGAACAGTTCATGGTTTTAAGTACCAAAGGGAGAGAAAAGTTAATTCCCAGAATGATGAGAAATTGAGCTCAAATTTGCTTAATCTTTCCTGGTCATTCTGTTGCCATGGTAATGGTCAATTAAAATTCAATACTGGGCATGTTTCCATCTAGCTGGGGAATATTGATGTATTTATAATACAAAATCTTGTAGGCAAGAAATTGATTGTTGAAAAATAGTAAGCGGAGCACTTGGCACACAGGATTTTGGTATGCCGTTGTATTAGTTTATATAATTATGTTCATTATTTCTTATTATTGAATTAATTTTTTCCGGATAATTGTATTTTTACTTTGAGCTAGCTGTTTAGTGTTGTTGAAGTGTTAAAAATATGTGTGGAGTGTTTATGAATCAGGTCTGTGTTGTTGTTGTTGTTGTTGTTGTTTTCTATGGTGTTATTTTTAGCTGGCTTAGTATTAAGCTGACTATTTGTATTAGAGTTTAAACACTTTGTATTATAAGACCACAAAGAAAAAATGCTGAATTGTAATTCTCACAATGAATGACATTTTTCTTTAACAAAAGTTCTGCAGAATTTTAGATGCTTAAAAATTTTAAACTGTTGCATAGTATTTGAAATTTAAAAATAAGAAGAGGGTTTTTGACCATTTGAAGGAAGAAAATAACCACACTTAATTATGGACTCTTTTATTTGATTAATTATATTTGTAATACCCAATACTCACTGTTACATTAAGCCATTAAAAATTTAAAAAAAAATGAAAACTTATAAAACTACATTTATATTAATATCATTGACAAATACAGTAAGTTATATTACATCTATTATATTATATGTGATCTTTGTCGAGATAAATTATGTAGAATATTTTTTTCATGGTGCTATTTTTAGTTACAACGTGGACTCAATAACAGACATATATAATAGACCTACAAAGATAAAGTTTCTGTGATACTAACTCGCTATCTTATTGTAAATTGAACTAGTATGTTCATTGTTCACAGCTTAAAACACACCTTTATTTATACATAGTAATGTCTCCAATTTGGGGGGGGGGGGGGGGGGGTTGTTGTTGTTTTATAGATAGATATATTACCACTTTGATTTACATCACCTTCTGATTTGTGTTCTGAAACATTATCTGTTATGAAATTGTCAAGAATCCACGTTATTTTAATCAATTAATTTCAACAGCTTCGTATTTCTCCAGTGACATCCAATTATTATTGGGAAAATGTCCTTTTTTTCTGTTTTTTTCCCCCCACATCCATTTGATGGACATGTTTTCATTTCCTCGAATTTTTTTTCATAATTACTCATTTTTCATTTTTGAAATTTCAATCATTTTCAATATTTAATCAGCACATGAATGGCTGTTTTCAGATTACATTAAAAATTGTTAAACAATAAATACTGAAAATTACGCAAAAGGGTAATTTCGATAGACATTACTCAATATTAATTTTAGAAAATACAGTTTTATGGAATCCCATCGGGAACTGTTATAGAGAGATGTTTAAAATCAGTGTTTGAAAATACATGATATAAATAGAGTTGACTTCATTAGATTATTTATAATGATGTGTTTGAAATCTCTATGGATATTAAATGCTTCTTTTCCAAGAAATTTATCTATCATGTATATGTATTATATTGTTCGTTAATTACGGTGAAATATAAATTTAATATTGTTTCAAATAAAGTTAAAGTTACCCAGCTATTTTGTTGGAAAACACTTGCTTGGATTGTTTATAAGCCTTTTGATTTAATATATATTGTATATAAATTTAGTAATATTTTGAAATGATATAAATTGTCAGAAGAAAAAGTGAAACAATCGAGTTCTGTTCTGTCCTGTTAGTGTGTTGTATAAGAAATCAAAAGAAATTGTTTTGTAGAACCTTTGCAAAAAAAGGCAAAATTTTTAGCAAAAATTTAATAAAATCTTCTCATTAAAATCAATAAATTTTATATTATAAAAGTTAACTACGATTGCAGATGAATTCTTCTCTTAGTCAGTTGGCCTTAAAAATGTATACATACATCTTGACTGTATATTTTTTTAACCCAATCTTTGACAATGCGATCAATAAGCTAACTATACTGGCCGATTTCCAGTCACTTTATGTATACAGAAGGAATAAATGTTCTTTTTATATTCTTTCTTTTCTTTTTTTTTATTTCGAAAAATTGATGACTATTATGTATATGTTTTTAAGACAGTAAAATTGTTCATGATCAATCTAAAATAATTTACGTTGTTTTGGATGTTGAAAACAATTTAATACAATGTACTGTATTTAATAGCCTTTACTTAAGATGCTGATGAAAAATGTAAGATTTGGATTAAAATTAATCAAGTAACCTTAAGATAAATGTGTTAAATTCCCCGATGGCTAAACTGTGTATATATACATTTTTTTATATCTTAAATGTGTTTTTTTTTTCAAAAGTGTAACATTAATCAGTCACTTTGGTCAACTGCTCATCCAAATCAGAAAAACACCATTAAATTTTTATTTCAAACTTGATGAATACAGATAAAAATGTAAATTTGATGGAGTATTTAAGTTAACTCAAAAGTTCAAGTAATGGGGTTAAAGTTGACTGATTTGATCTAGCATAAAACGTTTCAATAAATTTTGTTATTGGCTAGGGAGTTGAAATTTAATTTCATGGAACTTTGACATCAAAAGTAAGTCTTAAAATTTGTGTTAAATTTTTAATGTGAAAAAAAGGTGAGACTGGTTTCTTTTTTAAAAAAAAACACGATAGTGACGGATGTAATTAACTTTTTTTCTATAGGAGTGATAGTGCAAGTCACCAGGAGATTGTTTTTACATCAGATTTTATCTTTACATTGTTTGATACATTTTTATTTAGTTTTGTTTGTTGTTATTTATACGATGGCAAGGTACATAAAAAAATAATGTTATTCAATGTACATTGTATTTATGGAATTTTCATATATATTTTCAGATTGAGGGAAGTGAACTGTCGAGATTTGTGATCCAATGATTATCACAGAAAGTATTATCTACAAAAGCAAATAAGGGACATAAGAGAAAAGTGAAATTAACTTATTTAAGTATGGATATTATGTCTATGAAATCCTCGCGTCGCAAGCAGAGCAAACCAATACGGGTATCTTATAACGATGACACAGAAATGCCTTTACCTGCCCCTGGCCCTCCAGGTGAGGAGGAATTTGTAAACGGTGAAAATATGGACACGAACGACGTTGATCAGGAAAAAGAAAATAAATGTAATGAGACATTCCCAGGTGAAAATATGAGTGCTATGAAAAGTGATGTGAATGATTCTAGTCCAATAAATCTTGCAACACGAGAGATTGCATTTCCTACGGCTTATCACCGTCTTGCAAATGAATTCTCAATGAAAAACAGTTTTGTTCCAAACGGTCATAATAACAGTGTAATGGATGCTGAAAATAACATTGATAAGAATGGAAATGATGTGGTAGATGGTGAATTTGGGGAAAAGAATGATGGGGAAAAGCCAAAAGATCGTTCGGGAATATTCCATCCCGACGCATACTGTGAACTTTGTGATAAGGAATTTTGCAACAAGTACTTTTTAAAGACTCATAAAGCAAATAAGCATGGGATATATGACAATAGCTCGTCACCGTTTCCTCCAAGTATGAATCCATTGCCTCCTAGCTTGGTTCTACCTCAGGACTATTCGACTTTACCCTTCAAACTTAACATGGACTTTCCTCTACCTCCACTTAAACCAAATACCAGTTCTGCCAAACCACCTACACCTCAGCTCACGCCGACCCAGTTACCTGCCTCGTCTCCTCATCGTCAGTCGCCTCCAACTACGCAGTCACTGAGCCAGACACCAACAAAGCCACCTCAGTCACCACTGCCTAGCAATATGACGAAACCTCCTATCTCTTCGTCCAGTTCATCAACATCATCAGAGAATGGAGACAAAAAATCAGTGAGCCAAGATATGGAAGACTTCTGTGAGATTTGCCAAAAACACTTCTGCAATAAATACTACCTCAAGAAACATAAGAATGATGTTCATGGAATAGCACCACCTGACACACCAATGTCTGGGAAACGAGGTGGACGTCCTCCAAACTCTGAGATGAAGCTTCCAGCCACACCTGTTACTTCAGACTCCCCATTCATACCTCAGTCTCTTGCCAACCTACCTGGTCTGCCAAATATGCCAGGAGTCATGGTGCTGAACCCGTTCTTGCCACCAATGTTGATTCCAGGATCATTGATGAACCAGCATGGACCCATGCATCCAAGACCACCACACTTGCCACTTAATTCTCCTCTTCCATATTCCAGTAGTGCTTCAATGCCAGTAACATCAACTATTGACGCCAAATCAATATCACCTGGGTCTAGTTCCAGTACCTCAGCTACCTCATCATCACCCTCTGGCTCAATTACAGCAGAGGCTCTACGCAATTTAGGTATTCCCATTCCAGATGGTACAAGTCCTAGTGAGGCTCTACGTAGAATGGGACTCATGAGTCCTGATGGTCAGATCACCAGCGATGTTCTCAGAGGAATGGGTGTGCTTGGTGCAGAGGCCTTCTGTGACATTTGCCGGAAAGAGTTTTGCAATAAATATTTCTTGAAGATCCACAAGGCAAACAAGCATGGAATCTTCACAGATGAGCCATTATTGCCGCCATCAATGGCTGCTGCAATGAGCATGAGTTTGCCTAATAAACCAAGTGATTCAACCACAAATACCTCAGAAAACAACCGTTCCAGTGAAAAGGAAATGAAAGACAGTTACGAGAGTAACAAACCTGATTCTAGTCCTAAAGCTGCCACCACTCCCATTTCTCAGCCATCAGAATATATAACTCACTGCAATCTCTGTAGTCAAGAGTTTGCAAGCAAATATGCATACAGAATTCATCGTATACAAGCACATGGAATGATCAATGAACCATTCAATGAGGCAGAACTGGCAGAAGAGGCATTTAGACTGCATAACGGGGATTTACCAAAACAAATTAGTGTTAAAATTGCAGAGGAGATATCTGCCATGGAGAGAAATTCTGAAGCTGCAGGTTTTTCTACAATGTTCGGCAGTATGGTAGCAGCGAAATTAGCTGATAGAGTAACTTGTGACATTTGTAATAAGGAACTGTGCAATAAATATTTCTTGAAAGTTCACAAAATGAAGGTTCACGGTATTGATATCGGACTACAGGAAAGGTCTCCAAAGCCTGGTACTACAATGCAGTCTGAACGTATGCCACCTAAATTGGATTTCAGTCCATCTGCTGGGAGTCGCCTTGATTTCAGTCCATCTGCTGGGGGTCGGCTTGATTTCAGCAATTTTCAGTTTGGTAGAAACTTCAAATCTGAACCAAAAGAACCTAGTCATTCTAGACCAAATTCTACGCAGTCAATGGCATCAGCAGATACCTCTCTAAACATGTCAGTTGAACGCCCATCAAATGAGGAGCTAGTTAAAATGGGAATGGATCCGGAAGCTTACTGTGAAATCTGCAAGAAGGAATTCTGCAGCAAGTATTTCCTCCGAACACACAAACAAAATATTCACGGAATCCCGCCAAAAACTGAGAGTCAAGAAAGCAGTCTCAGTCTGCCAAAGTCATTGTCAATGGCTCCTCACCTAGCACTATCAACGCCACTTCTACCATCAAGTTTCATGTCAAGTGTGGCACCATATGCGCAAACAAAGCCAATGAATCTATCAGCAAGCAACGGCTCATTGAACAGTATTGGTTCAAATGGACGGTCGAAATCTAGCCTTCCAAATAAATGGAAAGAACCCCAGAATTCCTCACGGGTAACATGTGAATTGTGCAATAAAGAACTGTGTAATAAGTACTTTTTGCGTACTCATAAGATTAATAAACACGGCATGCTACCTGAGGAAATGTCTCCTCTTTCTAGTCAAAACATGTCGCCAAACACCTCAGATATTGAGACGTCGAGCAATTCTTCATACCCAGACAAAGGAATTCAAAGTCCTAAACTAAATCTCGAAAATTCAAAGTTATTCACAAACAGAAGTGATGATGGACCATTACAATTTTCAGAGGCTCTGAATTTGAAAATTAAGTCAGAAAGTGAAAAATTTATGAACATGAGTATGAACATGAGTATGAACATGAACAATAATGAAACTGAAATTTGTCATTTATGTAGTCGTAAGTTCAAGAGTTCAAAGTGGTTGAGACAGCACATACTAAAGGATCATGCAGGTTTGACATCTTTGTCACCGACTATGGAAAAGGCTTTCAATATTGGCGGAAGATATGCACCTCTCGAGCTTAGAACATGTTCTGTATGCAGTATTGTGTTCCCAAGTGAAATGTCAATGCAGTTACATATGATTCAAGAGCATAATGCTCAAGTAACAATAAAAACTGACACTCGTTCACCACCTTTGAGCAGTTACGAAACAAGAGGTCAATTCTCAGGGACAGTCAAAAAGTATGGCCTCAAGCCAAAGTTCTCTTTCTCGGTAAAACAAAAATCTTACAATTGTTCTGTATGCAGCCACAAAAGCAAATGGTTATCCACTATTTTATCTCATGAAAGATCAGTTCACGGCATCAATCACAATATGAAGAAGTTTGGATGCAAATCATGCCGAAAAGTATTCAGAACAGAGAAGGCGTTCCAACTACATATGATGAAAGTCCATGGGGACTATTCCATGTCAAGTACACGCTCGTCGAAACAGTACCGTTGCACAACTTGTGATCGCTCGTTCCCAAATGTGATCGATTGCCACCTACATATAAGACGAGATCATATTCGTGGACACAGTTTCCGGGTGAACAGTCACCAAGGTGATATTCGCCATCGCTGTCCACAGTGTAGTTTCCAAACGCGCTTCAAGAAGCAATATCAGCGTCACATTCTACGATGTCACAATGTTCCAGCAAAGGTCAACAGGGCCGGTTTCATGGACGAGTCCAATTCAGGGAAAACAAACATTCATTCGCTTAATTTGCACGCGGAAGCTCTTAACGGTTGTGGTGATTATACGATGCAAACATTTGAAATCAGACAATGCAATGAAGATGGCGTTTTTGTGTCCTCAGTTGTTGAAATGCCAGTGTTGCAGAAACTGACAGACTCCACGTCAGTTTCTTTTGTGGTAACACCCATTGACGATCAGCAAGATTGATTTAAGATAAGTCTGAAACTCTATAGACAGTGTTGTTAACTTTTGGGTGTGTTTGCTGTGCAATGCATGCAATATATACCAAATTCCAATGTGCAATCTCTTAGTTTATGGGACAGTTATTAGACCTTGACCAGAAGGGAAAAAAGATGTTACTTTGTACGCTGTGTTGTGAAAACAAAACTGAAATATTGCAATATCAAAGCTATAGTCATGTTAAACTCATCTTAATTTACTTTCATAAGGAATTAAAAAGAGATTATAGTTTGAGATTTAAAAGCAGTGAGCAATATGCGAACATCACAAACGTTTGAACCTAAAGGTTTGATTAAATACGAAGAAGCTGAAGTTCTTGAAGTTAAAGTGCTGTTTTCTTTGGTGAAGTTCTAATGGTGTGTCCCAAACATTGTTGAAATTATTTTCTTATTTTAAGTTTTTCAGTTAATTTTATATATTAAGAGTTCAGTTGAGATTCAATATCTTATTTTTTTCTTTTTTCTTTTGTGTTCATTTTTGATATTTTTATGTTGGCCAAAATCAATACATGGCGTTCATGGATGTTTAAGTTTTATTGACATTAACTGTGGATGCTTTAATGAGATGGAATAAGTTAGAGAATTATTAGGATGAAAAAAAAACTGATGGTTGATTTTATTCTCAAATTAAAAAAAAAAATATGTTATTTTAAGGGTTGTTCTGATTATTTGGAAAGTAACCATGTATTCTTTAAACAAAAAGTATAAATATGAATTTTATTTTTTTCAATTTTTTTTTATTCAGTTCACTGCTGTTGATTTTTCATGGCCAATTTTAATGATACTAATTTTAACGTCCTCAGTAATTTTTTTCTACATTCTCTATGTAGAATGTAAGTGTATAGCGAAGTTTTCATTGTAACCTATGTACAAAGTTGAGGTAACCTTATTATAAAGGTGTACATTTTATTTATTAAAGACATGTTATTTATTGTGAAGCCTGTTAAGATATTTTGTTGTAAAAATTTTGTGACATAATGTTATTAAGAAAAAAAGTATATTTTAACAGGAGTTCTTGGAGGATATGAATATCGTAACTTTTTTGAATCTCAGTATTATTATAAGGGATGGATCGTACAGTTGAAAGCAATATACAACTTTTTTTATGTAAATATTTAGATTTGTATTGGTGAAAAAAAAAGAACGGTGTACGTTCTTCTAGTGTATAATGATTTTTTGCTGCAATTTTTGCTGAAAGGTTGCAAACTTTTTAATTTTTTATTGCAATTTTGTCTAAAGGTTGCACTATTGTTCATTTTTTCCCCCTTTTTTTTGCAAAAATCTGTGCAAAGAAGATGTGCTTTATTATGGTTCTTTTTGGAGGTGTGATTTTTTTCAAATACTGACCAAAGATATTTTGCATTTAAATTCTACAGTCATGTAGATTTTAATTCTTGCCATCGTTATAGTTACAGAGTTAGTTCCCTTTATTATTTTAGTTGAACAGAGTTACGGTTGTTTAATTGATGTACTATATGAATATTAATATTATAAAATTCAAAAAGGTATGAAACTTTACTTTGTTTTTTCCTATTTTGTGAAAAAGGTAGATTTTCTGTGTTAAAAGAATGAATAATTCCTGTTTAGACCGATTGTACATGATCAGATCTTGATAGTCCCATGAAACTTACTATTATTTTGTTATGGAACACAATAATGCGAAGTTTAACAATATGATCGTTGGCCGAATATGTAATGAAAATGCAGCAATGAACATTTATTCTATGCAGAAAAATTGTAAAAAAAAATTTTGTTGTGTCTTTTTTTTTTTTCAAAATAAAATTGAAATTTAAATGAAAATCTGCCTTTTAAATTATTTATAGAAATTCCAGTTAAACAAAATGTGATAGCACTTGGAGAGAATGCCTTTTTTATACCCCCTTTTTTCTCCGTATTTATATGACAAATAATCTCACTATTTGTGCAGCTATAATATTTCTGAAACATTTCCATTTATGTGTTGTCCTTGTTTTCTAAAAATTCCAAAAAAAATAAGACATGTCCTTAAATATCATTGTTCACAGTGTATTCATCGAGAATAGTTGACCTTTAACCTGCTGAATTTGTATAATGGATTAGCCCTGCTCTAAAGTTGGAACAGTCCATTCATAGTTAAAGGGATTTCAATATGAATATACAAAAATTGACCTATCATTGATAGTAGAGAGCCTGGTACCAAAAACTAATTACATACAGTTCAAGCAGATTGACGGTTAATTACTTCATTTATTTTGTTTAATTTTAGTTTTTTTGCCATAATACCAAAGTTCATCCCCCCTCCCCCATTTAAGCCATTGGTGAAAATATTATTAAAAAATATAGATGAAATTCAAGGGAAAAAAAATTAAGATTGAAAACACATTACCCTTTTTAGAATGATTAATAAATTGTTTGTTGAGGAATGGAAAATTTGGGAATTTATTGTTAAATTATTATTAAAAACCAAAGCAAAGAGTTTTCAAAGAAAAAAGATTTAAGCTTTACATTCATCATGATATACAGAATCTATTTATTATTTTCTGGAAAATTAATGAAATTTCAACAAAAATGAAAGATTAGAGAATATTTTTTTTAAAAATGCCTAAAAATAAGTATGACTTTTTTTTCTAGTGTTAATATTTCAAAAAAAAAGTTTTATACATGTATTTGGTTCTCCCACTTAATTTTAAAACCAATGTTATATCCCTATTTCTCTGGAAATGGACTCTTCTGTTCTCAGAAAAGTGAAATCTATTAGAATTATTATAGTGGTGAAAGGTGTTATTTTCTTATCATCACAAGTCATGGTATATTATTTAAATAGTTGTGGGGTGATTTTTTTTCTCTTGTGTTCTGTGCATGTAATATTTCAGTATATTGATGAATATGATATAATATATTATATATAAATATATATATATAAAATTTGCATTTTTGACCATGTGTTCACTGTATTATTATTTTTTTCTCTCTTGTGTGTGTGTAATATTTGATATGTCCTTGTGTGAAGTGACTAGGATTGTTTACCTTTGATTAATATGATACTTAATATATTTTACATAAATGTCACTTTGTTGAAAATATCTGGTGTCGTTTTTTCTTTCAATTCTGAGGTCCATAAAAATGTCCTTTATTGCAAAAGTACAGCTGCATATAGCTGAAGAAAGTGTTATATAAAGAGAAGAATTTGAGTGACATAATTCTGCATTACATAACCATATAGTATTCAAAAAAATTATTTTACTTGAGCGCTCAATAAGGATTTTCATGAAACCTGCAAAAGAAAATCTTTCGATACTGGAGCAAAAGAAAACAACAAGAAAAAACAACATTTAATCATGAAAGCAGTGTTCAAAAATCAACGGCCTTCCATATATCAAGGGGATAAAAAATTCTTAATAAGTAAAAAAGGAAGCATTTATTAATAATGTTAAATCATCTTTGTGGAAAATATATCGGGTTATGTAAAGAAGAAATATGTCCTCATGTTCATGATCAGTAATAGCAATAAGATGGTAATCTGTCCTAGAAATAATGTCATCAATTACAGAAGTTGTCTCTATCCCTAACTTACATTTGAGGGGTTTTCAATGAAAAAGATGTCCCACAAAATACCTAAAGGGTTCAGTACTTATTAGTACAATACAATGGACCAAAGATTTTGTTGCACTTCCAATTTTTGCCAACAATGTTTTATATCTGTACTGTTTGTCCAATGCAGTGTAAAGTCACTGTCATTGTCACTTTTGTAATGGATTAAAATGCAGATTCTTCAATCAATTGTGAAAAACAACAAGTCAACCTATACCCTGTTGGCAGCAACAAGTTCTACCCATGCGACTAGTGCAGACCAAGATCAGCTGTCTGACCATGGTCCGCACTGTTTAGCCATTCAGCCAGTAGATATTTTACAGTTTTTACATAGAACATGGGCGTAAGAAAATGTGGATTTAGAACATTTAAATTATATCTTAAAACTGTTTGGTAATGCATTTTAATTAAACTTTTTATGTCCCCAGTACTTAAGGATATAGATTTGCCCTTGTCTGTCTATCCTGATGTCCAGCTGTCTGTCCGTAGAGTGACAAAACAGTGGTATGTTGGCATCCATATCTTGCGGACTAATTTGTACCTTTTTTAATTTGTTAATACCATCTAAAGGTGTGTAGCTATAAATATGACTAGTTCCAAATTAATCTAATTTCAGTTTTTTTACTCTTTACTTTTTTTATTAAATTAAAATATATCTGTTGAATATAATTTTTTTATCAAGCAGTAAAAAACACTATTTTGCTATTAGCAATTGACATTTTAAATCAAGTTGAAAACATTATCAGTAACTTATTAGATAAAATGACTTTCATCCAAAAAAAAGAAAAAAAAGAGAAAGAAAAACTCTCGATAATAAATCTGACAAGCCGTAAGTTATTATTTTTTAATTTTGAATAATTTCTTTTGTGTTTTGGGACCTTTGTCTGAAAACCTATTTACACATTGAGAGAGTTGTAAAAAATTCCGGACCGATTCTTCAAGCAATTTTCAAAATGTGTAAATTAGCTAAAATGATGTTCTATCTCATTTGCAATTTAAACCCTTTGAACTTGCCAATAAAAATCAAAATATCACATTACACTTAAAATGATAACAGAATACACTCTATTCAATCGATAATGAGGCTGATAAAATTGAAAAAATTTGAATCAGAATTATTTTAGTGAGAAATTTGAGTAGTTAAAATCGAATAAATAGCGCCGGAGTATTGTATCGAAGTCTCGCTCGTTTTAGACTTTAGAACTTTATAAGTCTCAGGAGGGTTACAAAAGACGTTTTACATGATTTGATATAATTCCTGACAAGTGTAGACTGAATAAACTTTTTTTTCCAAATTATGTGCAATTGTAACATAAAACTTTATTCTCTTCAAGTATAAAACTGTTCGGTGCAGTTCACTATGTGAAGCTGATGCTGGAAGTGCAAGTAAAAATATTGGAGTAACTTTAATAAGCATAATCCAGTAAATTTAAGATCTTTAAACTGAAGTATAAATATCAGAGTAATTTAAATAAGCATAATCATCCGATAAATTTGAGATCTTTGACCAAATATGACCAAAGAAAAACAATGAAAATGTCTTATGAAAGGCATAATTCAGATAGACTTTGCTCTTGGATGACAGAATGCCAAGGTGTGCCTTTGTTCTTGTCCAGTATTTGAGTAACTATTACCAGAATGAAACAGTTCACAATATATGTTATATATTGTGATAAATCAATGCTAGTCCACTTACTGAAAGGAATGTACACAGTAAGTGTCAACACAAGATCTAAGTCAATATTTACATGCTTGACATGTGCACTGCTCATGTCCACATGTGTCCAGTTAAGATGTGTAGAACCCACATGCTTTAAGTGTTCAAGTCAAAGTACCCATAGTTTGTGTAAACACATAATATGAACATAGTGTCAATGTCCACATGCCTCAATGTGAATTGCAAATGTCCACATGCTGTTGTGTACTTTCAATATCTACATACTTTAAGAGTATACAGTCGTAATACTATGTACAATGCGTATATGTTTCAAGGTACAGTCAATATGTATTTGCATTAAGTGTATACATTTTAGTGTCCACATATTTTAAGTGTCTACAGTCAATGCTCACAGGCTTTTTGTGTATACAGTCAATATCTATACAGACAATAACCCACAAACTTTAAGAGTATATATACCGCTTTAAGTGTATACAGTTGATGTCCATAAGCTTTAAGTGCATACAGTCAATGTGTGTATACAACTTGTGTATACACTTCATGACAACAATTTCTAAGTGTATACAGACAATTTCCAAAAGCTTTAAGTGTATACATTTAATGCCAACAATATTTAAGTGTGCACAGTTAATGTCAACAATATTTAAGTGTATACAGTTTATGGCAACAAGTTGGAAGTGTTAAATTAAGCTTTAAGTGTATACATTCAATATCCACTGATATATGATTTTAAATGGCCTCAGTCAATATCCATATGCTTTAGGTGTATACAGTCAAATTACACTGTCATAAGTGTATACAATTATTGACCATGTGCACACTTGTTCACATACTTGAAGTACAGTTTATGCCCACAAGCTTTTTACCCAGTCATCAACCACATGTAATATCCACAAGCTGTGTCTATATGCTTCAATAAATACAGTCCACTTTAATCATGTCAAAATACTTTTAAGTGTGAACATTCAATATACCTATACAGTCAATGTCTGCAGATCAAAAGTGTTGCCAGGCACTTTCCACAAACTTTTAAAGGAAAAAGGGAACTGTACATACTTTGGTGAATATATACAGTCTATGTCCAAAAGTCACTGTAATGATTCAAGCTTTACTAGTGAAGGATGACCTTAGTTGCCCCTTTAGTACATTATTTCAGGTCCAACTACAAACATTCCACAAGCAAGCTGGAAAGCTTCCTTACATAAAAATATTCAAAGTCACTGGCAGGATTCAAACTCACAGTGATGAGAAACAAGTGGTTTAAAGTAGCCAATGTTCATAAGTAATTGGTAATTGGTAACTTATTTGATAATAACAGAAGGGCAAAACTTTTCCCCTTGTATCTAATGCTCATAGTCATTATCCATGAGCCCTTTAAGTTAACCTTGACTTTCATATTGCAAGGAATGCCTGCTGTATGTACATATGCTGTACCAAGGTTGTAGTATTCATGGTTCATTTATTCACATTTTGTGAGCCACTGAGCCAATGTGGTTGAAATAATTCCATTCCATACAGAACTTTTGTTTGTCAGAAACCTAAAGGCTTCCAGTTTAGATAGTAAATATGCAGCATTGCCAAGTTTATACAATGCACATAGATCTACTAAATTTGTTAGAATTATGTAGAATTAAAACTTGAATTAGCATCCAAGGGACAAAGAGTTATACTCCTTCCTAGGAAATAAAAATACAAGTTTTAATGATTTGTTTTCAGACACCAAAAGCCAAAGTTTTACGATGATTTATTTTGGTCTTTATTTTGATCTGTATTTTGTAAATGGTCTAACGTGGGCATCTACTTGTACTGTGCTCAAATCATTGCCATGGGGTCAAAATTGACCCATTTTGTTTCTACGTTTTGTCATTGAATACATTTTATCTTATATCCAATGGGAAATTGACTCAAAGATGTATGGTTTTCAACTTGCCAAGAATGTACCATTTTAAACAACGATGAATTTTATTGATACTTGTTTCTAATGCCATCCTTCAACTCTTATAGTAGGTAACGCTAATGACGTCAGAATGACATTTTAAGAATCACGTGATTACGCACGTTTTACCTCAGGTTGTCTTTACGCAGTTGCTAATCTGCAGATATATTCTGGAAAACTTGAACATAATTACAAATTAGCAAAATATTCAATTAGTTGAAACAGGTTTTTCCACATAAACAGGAATTATTTTAATATATAATAAATTCACGTTAGTAATATTATCTCCTTCAGCACGTGCTTCAATGATGGAAACTATTATATCATTGTTTGACAAAAAATAACTACGATTCTCGTCTTTAAATGACTCTTAAAAACATTCGTT